TATCTAATATTTTCTAAATACCTTGGAAAGATCTACATTTAAACATATTTAATCAGTAAAAATCATTTGAAAAGATAAAAATTGAAAAAAGAAAATATGACAAAATAATAAAACAAAAAATACAATCTAAGGAATCTAAACTTTTAAACTTTTCCTTAGATTCCAAAGAATCTAAGGAAAAGTTTAAAAGTTTAATTGCTGGATAAAATTTTTTTTATTAATCCTGTTCTTTCTTTGCAACAATAAGAACAATATTTACTCCATAAGCAGATAGAGAATAAGGTCAGAACCACCTGAGGTGAACAGGAGGCGTCACTCTGACATAAATCTGGTTTCGCTGTTTACATCCATCCATCTTCTTCCACGTATCCAGGGAAGAAGATGAATATTACAATTTTGGCAGTTTAGTTTAGTTCAAGTTAAAATAAAATACAAACAAAAAAGGCAACAGATTGCCCTTACACAATATTGGTTCCAATGCGACTGATCACATTTCATACTTAACTTCTTAGACTGAGAATTAAATTTGACAGTATATGTCCTCAAATAAATAGTCTTTTGGAACTGCAGTTCACATGTTCTTCAATCACTTGCACCGTTTTCTGAGATATTCGAATTCTGGACATAATTAATGAAGGAATTCCAGATAGACTCAAACAGGTCCTGTTTGCTCTTTAATATATACATCATCTTCTCCAGAGGGAGGACAGATAACATCTGCTGCAGCCATTGATTTATGGTCGGTCTGTGAGTCTTTTTCTAAAACACTGATACACATCTATGCCCATTAAGCAAACTTCAGTTTATAAACACTCATTTTTTGTGTAAATACGTTTCCCAGGGTATAATCCAAACACAAACACCCTTGGCTCAAAAACAACTTCTTTGGAAATAATTTTTTCTATGACATCCTTTACGTCTTTCCAAACTGTATAATTTCCCTGCAATGCCACATACAGTGAACCAGAGTCCCTCTGTCCTCTGTGCATTTTGGACATATGTCCCCCGTTATACCTATTAAGGTTTACTGGTGTTTTAAAAATCCACATTAGCCATTTATATTGAATCATAATAGAGCTGGTGTGGGCCAATTTCCACACTGCTAAAAATGTAAATCTCAATAAGTCATTTTTTCTTAAATTAAGGAGGTAAGTAAGACACTTTGCCAATGGAACAAGACAATTTACATTTAAAATAAGAAAAAAAAATATTGCATTGTCTTATTTCAAGTGTATAATATCTATTTATCTTATTTTAAGAGTTAAAATACTTAAATCATCTTATTTACCTACTCAAATTAAGGGTAAATATGCTTACTTTTAGACTTTTTTACTCATTTTTAGATCATTTTTGCAGTGCA